AACTTGCGAACCAAGCAAGTACTTATGCTGAACCCCCTTGGGCACTCTCTAATTAGATGTCCTGGGTCCTCCGAATTTCTTAGTCCTTTAATACCTGTTTTTCTCCTTCTCTTATTTGGACTTTGTGTTTTCTGTTTAGTGTCTCATTTTATACAAAATCACATCCAGGCCATCACCAATCATTCTATATGACAAATGCTCCTTCTAACAACCCCACAATATTGCCCCTTACCACAAAATCTTCCTTCAGCTTAATCTCTCCCACTCTACGTTCCCACCCTGACACTAATCCCGCTTGAAGCAGCCGTGAGAAACATCGCCCATTATCTCTCCATACCACCCCCCAAAATTTTTGCTGCCCCAACTCTTCAACACTATTTTGTTTTATTTTTCTTATTAATATAAGAAGACAGGAATGTCAGGCCTCTGAGCCCAAGCCTGCACTTATACCTCTAGATTGCCTGAAGCAAGTGAAAAATTACAAACAAAGTGAAAGTGGCCAGTTCCTGCCTTAACTGATGACATTACCCTGTGAAATTTCTTTTCCTGGCTCAGAAGGTCCCCGACTGAGCACCTTGTGACCCCTGCCCCTGCCTGCCAGAGAACAACCCCTTTGACTGTGATTTTCCACTACCTACCCAACTCCTATAAAGTGGCCTCACCCCTCTCTCTCTTCCCTGACTCTCTTTTTGGACTCAGCCTGCCTGCACCCAGGTGATTAAAAAGCTTTATTGCTCACACAAAGCCTGTTTGGTGGTCTCTTCACATGGACGTGCGTGATAGTTCCAAGATACGAAGATAACTTGATTTTTATAGAGAGTTATATTTAGTTATTTCTATTTTCTATTCTTTTCTTTTTTTTTTTTTTGAGACAGGATCTTGCTTTGTCACCCAGGGTGGAATGCAGTGGTGCAGTCATAGCTCACTGCAGCCTCAATCTCCTGGGCCAAGTGATCCTCTGGCCTCAGCCTCCCAAGTAGCTAGGATTAAAGGTGCTCACCATCATGCTCAGTGTTTTGCTATGTTGCCCAGGCTGTTTTTGAACTCCTGTGATCAAGTGGTCTGCCTGCCTTAGCCTCCCAAAGTGCTAGGATTACAGGTGTGAATCACCACACCTGGTTGTTAATTTAGATATTTAAAGCTGCATTTTAAAAGGCCAAAATATTACAGTTTGATTTATTAAAAAAAAAAAAAATTCCAGGTGCAGTGGCCCACGCCTATAATCCCAACACTTTGGGAGGCCGAGGCAGGAGGATTGCTTTAGCCCAGGAGTTTGAGACCAGCCTGGGAATCATGGTGAGACCCTGGCTTTGCAGAAAAATAAAAAATTAGCCAAATGTGATAGTGTGTGCTTCTAGTCCCAGATGCTACTTGGGTGACTGAGGTGGGAGGATTGTTTGAGCCTGGGAGATTGAGGCTGTAGTGAGCTTTGATTGTGCCATTGCACCCCAGTCTGGGTGACAGAGCAAGACCCTGTCTCAAAAAAGAAAAAAATTCATCTTATTTGACATTTTCACTGAGTCCATTGAGGATAAATTATCAATTTTTGTAGAATGTTTAAAAAGGGCAGTTCAAATAAGTTGATTTTGTGATACTACTGAGGAACTTCAGGTATATTGTGGTTTTGTGTAGTTCTAAAAATCCCCAAAATGAATTGAAGTTAGACTCACTTTAATAACAAATGTTGCATAACACATTTGATGAATGATAATATATATTATAAAAACATAGTGTAATAGGTAGTTCATCTACTAAAGGTTAGAAATCAACCTTTTAGGTAAAAACACTCTGTGTTGCCCCAATAACATTTTAATCTTTTACAGATACAAGTTAGGACTTTTATCTGTAAAAGATTAAAATTGGTTGAGTGTCGTGGCTCACACCTGTAATCCCAGTGATAGGAACAGGAGGCAGAGAAATTCTGGGCAGAAAAGGGCAAGGTCCCTGGCAAAGCCCCACCCTCAAGCCTGGAACTATGCCCCAAAGTGAGAACATGCATTCCTGTTTTCCCACTCGAATGTTGTCTTTTCCAAAACCACACATGGCCTGTTCCACCCCCATCCTGTACCCATAAAAACCCCTGACTCAACTGACAGAGGGAAGAGAAAGGGAGAGGAGGAAAGGCAGCTGTATGGTACGACTGCAGTTTGACATTGGAGAAAAGCAGCTTGACCTCAGGGGGATGGCTTAATGGTGTTGCTTCGGAGAGTCCAGTGGGGGACAGTCAGAATCCAGGGGAAGATCACCTTCCTGCTCCATCCCTCTTCCAGCTCTCCTTCCCTCTGAGAGCCACTTTCATTGGCAATAAAATCCTCCGTATTTACCACTCTTCAATTCATTCGTGTGACCCGATTTTTACTGGATGCTGAACAAGAGCTTGGGTGCCACAGGTGTGAGCGGCAAAGCTAAAAGAGCACTGTAACTCATGCCCTCTGGGGCTTCAGGGGTCACGAGTACCCCCCTAGACACTGCGGTGGGGGGGAGCCCACGGAGTTTTGCTCCTGCCAGCACCCAAAAGTGCTAGCTCTGGCTCCTGCACCTGTTCACCTGCTGCTCCCCGTCCCACCAGGGGTTGAGAGCTGTGGACCGAGTAAGTGAGGCACTCCTGTCATGAGGCCCAGGAAGGGGTCAAGGAAAATTTTCTGTTTCACCAGCACTTTGAGAGACTGAGGTGGGCGGATCACTTGAGGTCAGGAGTTCGAGACCAGCTTGGCCAACGTGGTGAAAACCTCTCTCTACTAAAAATATAAAAAAAATTAGCTGGACATGGTGATGTGTGCCTGTAATCCCAGCGATTCAGGAGGCTGAGACATGAGAATCGCTTTAATCCAGGAGGCAGAGGTGGCAGTGAGCTGAGTTTGTGCCACTGTACTCCAGCCTGGGTGACAGAGTGAGAGTCTGTTTTTTTTTTTTTTTTTAAGATTGAAGCTAATGTTTATGGACTTAACAACTTTTCTTCAGTCAACATTTGAATAGATTTATTAAAAAAATTCAAAGTCAAACTCTACCCCACCCACCACATTGAAATACTATTAGGATATAGATACTTCATTTAAATTTGCCTGGTTAGGTTGGAGAAACATCAGTTTTTACTTGGTTCTTCTGTTCTGTGATGTATTTATTCTTTGAATCATTTTAGTTTTTGGTTTTAGTTAACTTAATAAAAAAAGTCAGAATCTCGGTTTTTAGAATTTGAATGTACCTCATCCTGTTCCTCTTTCTACTGAGTGAGGAATCCTTTCTTATAGCAGTGCTTGATCCGTTTGTCAGTGCACCCAGTTCCATCAACTGGTGTCTGTCCCTCTTGTGTTTACTCTTGTGACCACAGAAAGACTTTCTATCTCAAAAATCTCCTTATATTCCTGAGAGGAAATCCAGTGTGGGGCAGAACAATCATAGCGAATCATCTCAGAAGTCACTGGAAATCAGGTGTATTGATTTTCCTTGGGTTAAGCTTCCATTCCAGGTTCAGTGGGGTTGGAAAGAGGAGGTGGAGTCATGTATAATATGATTTTACTTCTGCCTAAGATATCTGAATAATTTCTTCATCCAGAGCATAGATTTGGCAGTTTCTTGCAGAATGAGAGGGTGTATTTAACAGATGTTTGAGCCAATTTACCCACACTGTATGGTTTACTAATAAGCATTTCTTAACCTCAGTCTAAAATTCCAAATAAGTAAAATTGAGGAAAGAGTTAACAGTGGTCAGCTTGTATGTATGGTATTGGAAATTCCCTTTAATATAGCATTCATTTGTATACTGTTGTAATGGCTATAACACCTGCCTGTGATCGTTTGTGAAACATTTACTCCCATATCTGGGATCCGACTGCTTAATGAATTTCTTTCTTTCTTTCTTTTTTTTTTTTTTTTTTTGACATGGAGTCTTGCTCTGTCGCCTAGGCTGGAATGCAGTGGCACAATCTCAGGTCACTGCAACCTCTGTCTCCTGGTTTCAAGCAATTCTCCTATCTCCACCTCCCGAGTAGCTGGGATTATAGGCACCCACCACCATGCCCAGCAGATTTTTGCATTTTTAGTAGAGATGGGGTTTCACCACATTGGCCAGGCTGGTCTCGAACTCTTGACTTCAGGTGATCCACCTGCCTCAGCCTCCCAAAGTGCTGGGATTACAGGCGTGAGCCACCGTGCCTGGCCATGAATTTCATGTTATAAATACACATACCAAATGTAGTATTTAATGGTAAAATATAAATGTTTATTCATATAATACCTTTGGAAGGACACATAAAAAACCGGTCATTGGTTGCCCCTAAATGAAGAGAATACCATAGGCTGGAGGACAGAGATAGCAGGTATACCCTTTAATTCTATTCAAACTTTATATTGTGTGTAAGAGTTACCTAAACAATAGTAAAGCACTAAAAAGTAAGTAAAATAAAAATGACAAACAGTAAGAAAAGGTAAGTTAAATGGAAAAGGCAAATACTCTTCTGGTATAATTCTAGCCAAATACAATTTGGTGGCGTCTATTTGAATTTCTTCTCCCAATTGTTAAGCTCTCTGTATTGGTTGATGGCTAAGTTTGATTAGTATTTTTCTCTACATGGTAATTATATTTTAATATTTTATCATCTTATTGTTTACTCAACTTAAAGTGATATAGAAGAGTTGCCAGGTTTCTCTTTGATGTGAGATCTCTTCTTGATTTGGAATGCCAATCAGAAGTGTCATTTTTTGAATAAAGGGACCAGATAACTTATAGGTATTCTTTCTCTAAATATAACTAAGGTAAGATTTTTTTTTTTTTTTGAGGTACGTTAATCTATATAAGTGGTAAAGAATTTACTTGAATTTCTCCAAATTCTCATGTCTAAAGTCTGATTGATTAAATTCAGTTTTGGTATTTCATTTTGAAAAGAATGCAGCTTTAGCAAACTTCTTTGTATAAATTCAGTGGGATTAAGTTCATTTTTAAAAATTGTTATATCATTGTATTTTTAAAATTTACCAGTTTTATTTTTCTTTTTACCCTTCAGCCGGCCTCAGAAAGTGTGTTTGTGTCCATTTCTCCCAGCGCACCCTCTGCATATCTCTACCCATTTGTACATAATTCAGCATCCAGCAGAGGTAAGATTTTGTAAAATAGATGATTTCAAATAGAATATGAGTCCACAAGAGGAAACACGAAGATAAACATACTTATCTTTACCAGCTCTTTAGCATTTCTGAAAAGAAGTTGATGATAAATACTTTCTCTTTGGAAAAAAATAGTTTCTTTTTAATTTCATGTGGTAGTATAGAGTCATATGCTCTAGAGAGAGATAACATTTCACAAAATCTATGTTACTGAATAGTATATAAATATAAAACTCCAATAATTTTGTATGAAGAAATAATGAGATTTTGTGAATAAAGAGCTAAGAAAATCATTGCTTTTTAAATTTTGGTCATAGCGTATGTTCCTTGATGTCTTTTCTTGCTACAGTAGAGGTAACTTTGGCATTTTACTCTTACAAAGTGAATGTATAAATAAATTTTTGGTTTATTTTAGATGAATAGAAGAAACTTGTATATTTCATAATGCATGTTATAGGAAAAGATTTTAAAATTAATACTCTCTTGTACAGGTACAATTATACATATGTGCCAGCGTGTATGTGTGTTTGTAACTTTTGATTAGCTGCTTAATGAAGAGGGGAGGAAGTTATAATTAATACAAAACTACTCAATGCATACTGTGAAGTATATTTAGTGTAAGCTACAGTTAAAACTCTTTCAGTATTTAGGAACTGAGGTTATCATAGACCCAGTCAAGCGTTCTAAGAAGGAATAATTATTTTTTAAATTTCTCAAGTCTGGATCACTTGAAGACTTTAACAGAAGTATAAAAGAAATTAATCTTTTATCTCTTTCAAATAATGAAACATTTATTTATTTATTTATTTATTTATTTATTGAGACAGGGTCTCCCTCTGTCACCCAGGCTGCAGTACAGTGGCACAATCTCAGCTCACTGCAATCTCTGCCTCCCACGTACAAACAATTCTCATGGCTTAGCCTTGAAACATTTTTTCTTTTATTGCAAATTGCTAACTATTCCATTTGGTGAGCAACCTTTTTCTCAGCCTTTTTTTTTTTTTTTTTTTTTTGAGATGGAGTCTTGCTCTGTTGCCCAGGCTGGAGTGCAGTGACGCGATCTCAGCTCACTGCAAGCTCTGCCTTCTGGGTTCACGCCATTCTCCTACTTCAGCCTCCCAAGTATAGCTGGGACTACAGGTGCCTGCCACATCGCCCGGCTAATTTTTTGTATTTTTAGTAGAGACGGGGTTTCACCATGTTAGCCAGGATGGTCTTGATCTCCTGACCTCGTGATCTGCCCCCTCAGCCTCCCAAAGTGCTGGGATTACAGGCGTGAGCCACCGCGCCTGGCCTAACCTTTTTCTCAGTCTTAACAGCATCATGATTTTGTCAGGATTATGACAATTTTGGTCACTAGCACTATTTTACTGCATTTAAACTTAAAACATTGTACAGCTCAAAATTTATGTAAAATGATAGCTTGCTGGCCATAGCAGTTTTGGTTAAAACCTGACTTTTGAGGCTGGGAGTGGTGGCTCATGCCTATAATTCAAGCACTTTGGGAGGCTGAAGAAGGAGGATAACTTGAGCCCACAAGTTTAAGACCAGCCTGGACAACATAGTGAGACCCCATCTCTATAAACAAATAAAAAAATTAGCCAAGTGTGGTGGCACATGCCTATAGGCCTAGCTACTTGGGAGGCTGAGGTGGGAGCATCCCTTCTGCCCAGGAGTTTTAGGCTGCAATGAGCTATGATTGTGACACTGCACTCCCACCTGGGCTATATAGCAAGACCCTATCTTAAAAAACAAAACAAAACAAAACCCCAAACCACTTGAGATTTGATGGTAAGTACTGCGTTCATTTTGCAGTAGACACAGTATGGCGCCTTTTCATTATTGTGTGGTTCCAGATATAAGATAGCTTTTTTAATATGGGTGTTTTCATTGATTTGTGGCAATATTAATGTTTTCTTTCTATTTTTTGTAGAGATGGAGTCTCACTATGTTGCCCAGGCTAGTCTTGAACTCCTGGCCTTGAGTGATCCTCCTGCCTTAGCCTCCCACAGTGCTAGAATTGTGGACATGAGCCATCATGCTTGGCCTTTTTTTTTTTTTTTTAAATGTTTTCAAATATCTTATTTTTAATTTATTTTTTTTACCATTAATCTATGGTTTAGATGATGCATTCATCATTGTGTGTGCTACAAATATATTTTATGCATATACAAATGCATCCATACAGTTTTTCCTTCTCAGCAAAGAACTTTCTATTATTATTTTTTTCTGTTTTTAAGAATGGGGTCTCACTATATTGCCCAGACAGGTCTCAAACCCAGGGCTCAAGGTATCCTCCAGCCTCTGCCTCCCTAAGAGCTGGGACTATAGGCATGAGCCACCCTGCCCAGCCATTCTCAGCAAAGGAATTTTCCAGTTTTCATCTAACTTATGAGTGCTGGGCTGCCTGTGCTTAACTTCAGCACACCATTTCCAATAAAAGGGTATGCTAGTTTTTTGACTCTCCCATAAAAAAGTTATTAAAAACCATTTAGATAGGCTTTAGGAGGGGGCTTTGGGAAAAGAAGACTTGGTGGAGTAGATGATATGGAGGTGATATGATGGAGCATTTCAAAGAGTAGGTATACATATATATAAAATTACTTAAGGATAAAAACAGAAAAGCTATCTCAAAAATAACAAAAAGCTTTACGAGAAAGAAATGTTAAACGACTTGGCCTTTGTGAATAATGTATATTTAGTCGTGAAGATGCAACACTCTTTATTGACTTAACTAATAATATTAGATGTGAGAGGAAGGAGTGGTGTTAGATAGCTAAATCCTCATTTGTTATGAGAGGCAGTACTTAAGGGCTGTGGAGCTAGACTGCCCAAGCTCAAATTCTTAATAGTTCTATAAACTATGGAACTTTGGGCAAGTTAATTAACATCTTTGTGTTTCAGTTTCCTCATTAGTAAAATGGATATGACAAAAGATATATTTCTCTCTGTGTATTGCACTTAGAATTGTGTGCCTTAATATTAGCTGTTACGATGATAACTGGTAGATTTTGGATAATATCTAAAATTGATAAGAAATAGAAAAACAATGTTTATTATGTGGTTATACGGAGGTAACTACCAGAAGAAATAGCCAGAAGAGTTAAAGTGATTGCCTCCAGTAAGTGGTACTGGGGAGTACATCTGGGAACAACTGTGGCATTTTAAATCTTTTGGCACTATTTAATTTGACATATATACATGTATTACTTTGATAAAGGTTTAGAAAGTGATTAAGTCTGTGTCACAGTCTCATGGTGATGGTAAGGGGAGAAGAACACTGTATTAAACATTGGAAAATGTCCTAAAACCACCTAAGGCAGAGTGACTAATCACATGGCTCTATGGGATTCAAGGTAGAATTCTCGTGGCAACAAGAAAGATAGTTTCCAGTGTTGGAAGCTAGGACATTGAAGAAACCACTGATGACAGTCAAGTTAATGGCATTTTCAGAAACGGCCACCAGATTTCTCCACTCTAAAGTTATTTTTTTTGTTCTCTTTCCATACTCTATATTCTTTGGAAGGAAGGCCATAAATCCAGCCCACACTCAAGTGGAGGAAGAGATTAAGCTCCACCTTCTGGAGGGGGTTGTATTTACATTTATTATTTGGAATTCTTTTGTAAGGAAGATTTGTTTCTTCTCCCCCATTTATTTATTAAGTCATTTATTTATATCATTCCGGACTCTAATTTGTACTTTGGGTTATAATCCAGTACTGTGTTATTTATTTTGTTGCTCAGATTGTTCAGTTTTAGCCATTGGGAGCTCTTTAAGATTGACTTCTATGTCCCTTCGACATACCACATTGTTTGTTTTCCTTTTTTAAAAAAATTTTTAATTTAAATAAAGAGGCTATGCTGGGAAGAACCCATTGTTTTGTTTTTTGAGCACTTCCTTGCTGTTTGGGCATAAAGATCTAGGCAATTATCTTCAAGCTGACATAGTGCAAAATGTAATTACTTGTGAAATGAAAAACTTGTCAGAATAAATGATTCAATTTAGTTAAACACAAATTTACATTTTAATAATCTTTAATCATTATATATATTAATGTCATCTTCTTTGATCAGTAAACCCGTAAACATACCCAAATAGAATAAAAAGGTATGCTTGTGTTATGGTTAATACTGATAAATCAGAGAAATTTTACCTCTTTTTTATTAAACTGTGGTCTTTAGTAAAAGGCTTGTAAAAGTTATACATAAAGTTATGAATCAGATGTTCATTATAAAATATTTAAAAGTGTGTATATCTAAGTAAAAATCTATGTTTCAATTCATTTTTTAATTAAAGGAAAACAAAGTGTTGCGTACAGTTCCTCTACTAGCAGCATGCCTCCCCCAGGACAAGTGTAAAGTAAAGATTGGTCGTCGCTTCAGTGAAGAAAGGTAAATTAACTGTTAGGGCAATGTAAATAATTCTTTTCTACACAGATCTTTAAAAATGGTTTCGTTCAACTTATTCATTTCTTTCGGGTTATTCGTGGTCTAAAGAGTGGAAATTAGTCAAAAATTTAAGTTCTGCTAACCCCCGACCACACAAAATAATACAAGACAAAACAAAACAAAATCAGAAATAAAAAAATAAATAATGTGTAAGCAAAGGAATATTTAACCTAAAAGTATGTTTTAACTTAAAGTATGTTTAACTTAAAAGGCAAATATACTTGGTGCTTATATCATTTTTGTTAAAAGTGCCTTCCAGTTGGTAGATGGTAGGGTTCTTTTTTTTTTTTTTTAAATATCTTCCACAACATTTTTTTTTGGTAGGGTTCTTGTATTAGATTTAGTTCAGTTTTTTTTCTCCCTATGGTGCCTAATATAGTGCTTACTTAGTAAATTATTATTATTATTATTTTTCGAGGCAGGATCTCACTTTGTTGCCCAGTCTGGCGTGCAGTGGTGCAATTTTGGCTTACTGCAACCTCCACCTCTTGGGCTCAAGGGATCCTCCCACCTCAGCTTCCTGAGCAGCTGGGACTACAGGCATGAGCCACTGTGCCTGGCCAATAAATTATTATTTGCTGATGAATTTTAAATTAAAGCAGATTAGAACTGTCAATATAAATGTAGTAACTGAATGATTAATTCAGGCTTTTGTTAGAGTACATGATGAAATCATGGGGGAATGATTAAGAGACTTACTGCTTTTGGTGTCCTTTGTAAATTTTTGCCTCTAGTATATAAGAAAACAATTGGTTTTTATATATTAACCCTGTATCCAGTAACTTTCTAAATTCATCTGTTAGTTGTAGAAATTGTTTTGTAGATTCCCTGGAACTTTCTATGTAAGCAGCATTGTCATCTGCAAATGGGATCATTTATATTTCTTCCTTTCTGATACTTATCCTTTCTTTTTCCTTGCCTCATTGCAATAACTGATACTTTTAGTATAATGTTTATTAGAAGTGGTGAAAGCCAACATCTTTACCTTGGTCCCAAACTCTGTGGACATTATTAACTATGATATTAGCTGTATGTTTCTCCCCCCAAGCATTATTGAGGATAATTGATAGATAAAAGTTATATTTATCATGTACAGTGTGATGTTTTGATGTATGTGTACATTGTGAAATGATTAGCACAGTCAAGCTAATTAACACATTTATCACCTCACACAGTTAAGATTTGTTTAAAACGTTCAATAATGTTGAGAATACTATAGTATGGCTGTGTCAGGAGAGACACAATGAGGAAGTGAAGCCAAAATGCATGAAAGGAAAGAAGTTTATTACACATAGATACTAGAGAGGTTAGGATGCCAATGTGAGGCCAAAGGGAAGTCTGGAAATAGGGGATTCAGCCGCTGGGTGGGCGGGAAGAGGAGACCTGTGGGATTATGCCTTTATTAAGGTCTGTGGGGATTATCCCTTGGGATTTCCCTGTGGGTTGTGGACTGGCTAGTTTAAAGAGAACAATGTGAAGGGGGAGCTTATTCATATGACTCTGGTATTATTCATATGACTCTGGGTTTTATTGTGGTCAGCAGCTATGGGATGTGTTGGGTTTTGGATTAGTGAGGAACAAGTAGGCTATATGGCAAACACCACACAGGGAGAGAAAGTTTTAACTAGGCCAAAGGTGACAGGGTTGGCTGGATTACGGATAACTTATGTCAGGCCTAAAATGGATGTCAAGGCAACCACTGTATTAAACAAATTTATAACAATAGTTTTACTTTTTTTTTTTTTTGCAGTGATAACATTTAAGACCTGCCCTCATGGCTGTTTTCAAGTATACAATCTGTTAACTCTAATAACCATGTTATACAATGTAATTTATCAGTTTCTAAAGTGCAGAGAATTTTAATTATGAATGGGTGTTTGTTGAATTTTGTGAAATCCATCTATTGAAATGATCATGTAGATTCTCTCCTTAATTCTGTTAATATAGTGTGTTATATTGATTGATTTCTGCATGTTAAAACCCTTCTATTTCTAAGATAAAACCCACCTGGTCATATTATAATTTGTGGGATGGTTTTTTTCTTACAAATATAATTCATTTATTAAACATAAGGAATTTCATATTTTCTATTTATTTTCGTGTCAGTTTTTATATTTTGTACCTTTCAAAGAAATGGTACAAGTTATCTAAATTGTTGAATTTATTGTCATAAAGTTGCTTGTAGCATTTATTTATCGTTATTGTCATGTCTGTAGAATTTGTAGTGGTAGCCTCTTTTAATTCCTGATTTAGGTAATTTGTGTCTTTTCTTTTTTCTTAGTCTGTTTCGGTAGATCTCTTTGAAGAACCAAGATTTTGCTTTGTATTTTTCTCTGTTTGATTTTCTAATTGATTTCTACTCTTCATTGTCAATTTTTTTCTTGCTTCGGATTTAATTTCTCTTTTTTTCTTTTTTTTTTTTAGTAGAAGATTAGATAACAGATTTTAAACCTTTTTGTTCATTCATATAAACATAATTTTTTTAAAAAAATAAATTGAGATGGGGTCTTGCTATGTTGACTAGGCTGGTCTCAAACTCCTGACCTCAGGTGATCCTCTCATCTTGGCCTCCCAAAGTGCTAGGATTACAGATGTGAGCTGCTGTGCCCGGTCCTTTTTGCTTTTTATCAGTGTTTTGTAGTTTTTCACATACAGGTACTTTACATATTTTATTAGATTCACACCTAAGAATTTCATTTTTGGAGGGCTATTTTAATGGTATTTAAAACAATTACAAATGTGAATTTTTCATTGTTGGTATGTGGGAAAGCAGTTGACTTTTGTATATTAACCTTATATCTTGTGACCTTGCTGTACTTATTTACTTGTTCTTGGAGGTTATTTTTTTTTAATTTTTATTTTTTTGGTCAGTTCCATGGGCTTTTCTATATAGATGATTATGTCGTCTGAGGAATATATATGGTTTTATTTCATCTTTCCAGTTTGTATGTCTTTTGTTCCCTTTTCTTATTTCAGTAGCTAGGGGTTGAATAGCAGTGGTGAGAGGACATCCTTGTTTTGTTCTCAGTCTTAGAGAACTGTTATGTATAATGCTAGCTATAGGTATTTTGCAAATGTTCTGTATTAAATTGAGGCCATTCTCCCCTATTCCTAGCTTGTGGAGAATTTTTCTCATGAGTGGGCTTTGGGTTTTGTCAAGTACGTTTTCTTTGTGAATTGGTACAGTCCTTTGATGTTTCTTCTTTAGTCCATTGATGTGGTTGATTACATTTATTGATTTTGAATGTTAAACCAGTCTTCCATCCCTGTAATAAATCTGATTTGTGATGGTAGATAAGTTTTTATGCATATTGGATTTAATTTGCTGGTATTTTGTTGAGAATTTTTGTGTTTATGTTCATAAGGGATATTGATCTATAGTTTTCCTTTCTTGTAATGCCTTTATTTGGTTTTGATATGCGGGTAATGCTGGCCTTATGGAATGAATTAGGCAATGTTCTGTCTGTTTTTATTATCTGGAAGAGATTGTAGAGAATTGATACCATTTCATCTTGAGATGTTTGAGAGAATTCACTGCTGAAACCACCTGGGCCTGGTGATTTGTTTTTTTAGAAGATTATTAATTATTGATTCAGTTTCTTTGATAGACATAGAGCTTTTCAGTTTTCCTGTTTCTCCTTGTGTGAGTTTTGATAGTTTGTTTTTCAAAGAATTAATTTCCTCTGAACTATGAAATTTGTGGGCATTGAGTTTTTTGTAGTATTTCTTTATTATTAATGACTATAGAATCAGTAATGATCCCAGTTTTTTATTTCTGATATTGGTAGTTGTGTCTTTGCTCTTTTTTTTTTTTTTTGATTACCTTAGGTGTAGTTTTATCCATTTAATTGATCTTTTCAAAGAACCAGTGTATTAATTTGCTAGGACTGTCATAATAAAATACCACATATTGGGTGGCCAAAGAGAAGTTTATTTTCCACAGTTCTTGAGTTTAGAACTCTTTAAGATCAAGAGGTCAGTAGATTTGGTTTCTCCTGAGGCCTCTCCTTGGCTTGCGGTTGGTTGCCCTCTCATTGCTTGTTCACATAGTTGTCCCTCTGAACAGGTGTGCCCCTGCCATCTCTTCTTTTGTGTCCAAATTTCCTCTTATAACCATATCAGTTAGATTAGAATAGAGAACACCCTAATGGCTTCATTTTAACTTCATCACCTCTTTAAAGGTGATTTATCAGTCTCTGAATACCATCATATTCTGAGCTACTAGGGGTTAGGACTTCAACATTTGAATTTTGGGGAGGACACAATTCCTTCTGTTAACAGTCAGCTTTTGGTTTCATTGATTTTCTCTGTTGTCTTCCTATTTTGAACTTCATTGATTTCCATCTTAGATTTTACTCTTTCTTTTCTTTTTTTAGTGCTTGTTTTAGGCTTAAATTGCTCTTCTTTCTCTAGCCTTTTTTTTTTTTTTTGGTCAAGACAGAATCTTGCTACATTGCTCAGGCTGATCTTGAGCTCCTGGCCTCAGGTGACCCTCCTGCCTCTGGGATTAGAGGCATGAGCCACCATGCCCAGCCCTATCTAACTTTTATTGTTGTTGTTGTTGTGTTTTTAAGGAGGAAGCTCAGACTGTTGATTTTCAGGTCTTTCCTCTTTCCTAATATGTGTGTTTTAATGCTACGAATATCCCTCTAAGCAGTGCTTTTGCTGCATCCCACACATTTTGATAAGTTGTATTTTCATTTTCGTTTAGTTCACAATATTTAAAAATTTCCCTTGAGACTTATCTCTTGACCCGTGGTTTTTTTAGAAGTGTGTTGTTTATTCTCCAATATTGTGGAGTTTTCCAGCAAGTTTTCTGGCTCTAATTTAATTCCATTGTAGTCTGAGAGCATACTTTGTATGATTTCTATTTTAAATTTGTCGGGGTATGTTTTATGGCCCAGAATGTGGTCTGTTTTGGTGACTGTTTCATGTGAACTTGAGAGGAATGTGTATTTTGTTGTTGGTGAACTATTCTATAAATATCAATTAGATCAAGTTGATTGACAATGCTGTTCAGGCCAACAATATCCTTACTGATTTTTTGCCTGCTTGATCTACCAGTTACTGACAAGGTTGTACTGAGTCTCCAACTATATTACTGGATTTGTCTATTTATCTTTTCAGTTCTATTGGTTTTTGCCTTACATATTGTGAACAGTGAATTGTTAAGTACATACATGTTAAAAGATTTTTATGTCTTCTTGGAGAATTGACTCTTTTTTTTTTTTTTTTTTTTTTTTTGAGACGGAGTCTCGCTCTGCCGCCCAGGCTGGAGTGCAGTGGCCGGATCTCAGCTCACTGCAAGCTCCGCCTCCCGGGTTTTTACACCATTCTCCTGCCTCAGCCTCCCCAGTAGCTGGGACTACAGGCGCCCGCCACCTCGCCCGGCTAGTTTTTTTTATTTTTTAGTAGAGACGGGGTTTCACCATGTTAGCCAGGATGGTCTCGATCTCCCGACCTCGTGATCCGCCCGTCTCGGCCTCCCAAAGTGCTGGGATTACAGGCTTGAGCCACCGCGCCCGGCCGGAGAATTGACTCTTTTGTCATTATGTAATGCCTCTCTTCATCCTGATAATTTTCCTTCTGATGTCTGCTTTGTCTGTAGTTAATATAGCTACTGCAGTTACCTTTTTTTATTTTTTTGAGACAAGGTCTCATTCTGTTGCCCAAGCTCGAGTGTAGTGGCACAATCATGGTTCACTGCAGCCTTGACTTCCCAGGCTCAAGCGATTCTCCTGCCTCCGCCTCCCGAGTAGCTGGGACTATAGGTGGACGCCACCATGCTTGGCTAATTTTTAAACGTTTTTGGAGAGATGGGGGTCTCACTGTGTTGCCTAGGCTGGTCTTGAACTCTTGGGCTCACGCAGTGCTCCTGCCTCAGCCTCCCAAAGTGCTGGGATTACAGGGGTGAGCCGCTGTGCCTGGCCTAGAATTATCTTTTGATTAGTATTATCATATATCTTTCTCCCCTTTTTTTTTTGAAAGGGTTTTATTGATATGTAATTCACATACCATTTAACTTACCAATTTAAAATGTACAAATTAATTGGTTTCTACTATATCCAAAGATATTTGCAACCATCACCAATTTAAAATATGTCATCACCTCAAAAAGAAACCCTCTACCTTTAACTATTACTTACCTATCCCTATGCCCTCCATCGTTTCCAACTCCCTGCACCTTCCCAATCCTAGGCAAACACTAGTCTACTTTGTGTTTCTATTGATTTTCCTATTTGATATTCATATTTGATATCTGATATTCCATATAAATGAAATAATGTATTTGGACTTTTGTGACTGGCTTCTTTCACTTAGCATAATGCTTTCAAGGTTGTAACACGTATGTTGTAACATACATTAGTACTTAATTTCTTTTTGTGGTTAAATAATAGGTAGAAAAAAAGCTGTGGTAAGTAGTTTCTCTTGAGGGAAAGGCCTTTGTTATGGAGAATGCTGTGGGCTATTTCGAGATGGTTACTTTTTTTTTCCTCTGGTTTTTGGAGTTTTTGCCCTGGGGCCTCAGTTCTCTGATGGATCTAAGAAAAGTTGTTAATTTTCAGTTTGTTAGCATTTTTCTTGTGAAGATGGGCTTGATGACTTTCAAGCTCTTTATTTCTGAGCTGAAATTGGAAGTCCAAATTATATTTCCAAGAACAATGATAATTTGTCTACTTTCCCCTTAATGTTTTGTTTTTTTGCTTGTGGGCAAAGGGTGTCTCATTCGTTGTTTTATCTCCAGTACCAAAAAGCTTTGACACATTTTTGAATGAATGTTGAACCAACAAACTCTATAATTGAACTGGATGATGGTGTAGGGGCCAAGGGAAACCTTCCTCTTCACCCTCTGAAGGTCTGCTAAAAATCATCTGACAAAAGACAAATTAAAGGGAGAAAAGGCATACAAATTTATTAATGTGTAAGGGAGTCTTATGAGATATAAGAACTCAAAGAAATGGCCAGATGGTTGATGCTTTTATGTCATCTTGAGGTTTACAGAAAGAATAGGGGCTTAGAGCCTGGCAAAGCCGGTTATAATGGCAAAAACACATGGAACGGGAAGAAGAGGAGGCCTGGCTAGCACAAGTGGTCTTGTTATGCAGATGAAACTGCACAGATAGCAGCCTTCATGGAGAATAGAGGGCAAATATTTCTTTCAGACAATTAAGGTTGTTAGACTTTCAGTTATTATTTCCTAAATCTGGACAAGGGAAGGTCCTCAGAGAAAGCCTGGCTGCCATCTGTTTTTCTCTACAGATGCAACAGCTTTTCAAGGCTACTGCTGTTTGCAAGCCCTCTAAACAGCCGTCTCAACGTATGTCAAATAAGTATATTTTGAAGTGAAATATTTTGGTTTCCTTCAATAGATCATATAAGGTGTTATAAGAAAAACTTCAGCCAAATTAAATTTAAAGGTATTTAATTGAGCAATGAACAATTCGTGAATCGGGCAGCCCCCAGAATCACTGCAGATTCAGAGAGACTCCAGGGATGCCTTGTGGTCAGAACAAATTTGTAGATGAGAAAAAAAAAGGGAAGTGACATACAGAAATCAGCAGTGAGGTATGGAAACAGCTGGATTGGTTACAGGTTGGGGTGTGCCTTATTTGAACACAGTTTGAACACTTAGCAGTCTGTAAGTGGTTGAAGTGTGGCCACTGGGATTGGCCAAGACTCAGCCATTGTTACAGGTGCGTACTCCTAAGTTAGATGTTCAATCTTGTCTGCCTATTAAGATAGATTAGATTTCATCCACAAGGACTCAAATTTAGAAGTATGGAATCCTTCTCAGGCCATATTTAGTTGGCTTTAACAAAGGTGAATTTGAGAATGTGGCTTGCCTGTGCAACCTAACTTTTCTTTATGGTTCTTCCATTGCTACTAGATTTTGCCCTGGGATTGTTAGGATTGTTTGTGCTAGGATTGTTAGGCAATGCCAGTTGTTTACTTTGATAAAGTGGATCAGATTACACATGAAATATTAGTGAGAAAAGGAAGAATTCTTTGGAAGGGCTAAAGTTATGTCACTGGCAGTTGGATAGAAAAGCTTTAATAGAGAAGAATAGAAGAATAGTGAGGATTGGAAAGCCTAGAGGTGAGTGGCAGAATTGTGGTGAAGAAATCAGTATAGAGTACACAAAATTTTGAGTGTTTTAAATTCATACTTTATAAACTAATTAATACCTATATTTGATTAGACAAATGACTAGATATAGGGAAACTTTTATTAGGAAATTCAGTAAGCATAATAAAACCTTTTTTCCTCACAAGCTAATAAAGATATATTTTTAAAAAACTTTTTCAGAGATCCTGAACTTTCAACTGTTTGCCGGAAGTCTGGTACATTAATATTATATCCTGGGGCTGAAGCTGCTAATTTGGAAGAATTTATATTAGATTCTCCTGTTTATCCTTCTACAATCATCATCATTGATGGTACATGGAGCCAGGCTAAGGACATTTTCTATAAGAATTCCTTGTTCCGACATCCCAAACAGGTAAACCAGTAATTTTAACAGAGAATAAATATAAATGTATAATTAGGTATATTGTGTATGTTTTCTGTGAAGGGATACATATGCATTTTTATATATGAATTTGGTGGTATTTCTGTGTGTGAATAGAAAGTACATAGATATATATGTATGTTTATGAGTTTGAATATCTATATATTTTGAATATATATATATTAAATTTCAAATTTGTAATTTCTTCTGTCTTACTGCCAAATTTTACTGTAGTTGAGGCATTTGGCTATACTGAGTCTCTTAGATATTTCATCAGAGAAGTCTAAGGATTATTTTTATTATGTATTAATGTGTTTTGTTAAGAAGCATTGTCTTATTTAAATACTATTATTTGGTTACTGAATTACCTAGTTCTTATTAGGAATGACTAAGTTTTTATGAAATACTTTTTGTCATTCATTATTATAGTTATATGGTTTAAGCTTCAGTTTTTTGATGTAATTAATTATGAAGACACCTTTCTTAATATTGGTCCATTCTTGTATTCCTGGAATGGACTCTACTGAGTAAACTATTAAACATTTTTGATATATTGCTGGAAATTATATTTTATTTAATGGCATTGAATTATGTGTATTTTTGGTCCACTGTCAGGTTTGGGTATTAAGATAATGTTAACCTCCAAAGTAAATTGTAGAGATTTTAATATTTTTCTATCGACCTGGAATAGTTTAAATAATACTAGAATTCCATGCATCTTAGAAATTAGATGGAACTCATTGGTGAAATCACTTGGTTCTGTTCTCTTTAAAAATGATAGTTTTTAAATTCTTCTTTCAAACTCTTCTAAGGAAATTATTCAAGCTTTCTACTTCTATTTGGATCAGTTTTTAATAACTTTTATATTTCTCTAGGGAATGATCTCTTTTCTATAAGTTGGCAGATTGGTTGCCCTGTACTTATATACAGTCTTAAATATTTTAATTTCTCAGGAATGCATTTTTTTCTTGTTTTTAATCATACACACACAGATGTAGACATACACACACATGCACAAACGTTTTTTACACAAATAGATTCAAAAGGGGTTTCTCTATAGAGCTTTTAAAAGTATAAGCTTTTAGGTTGTTTATATTGGCTATTATAGTTTATTTTTATTTCATTACATTGAACTTTTTTCTTGACCAATTTTATATTTCATCTTTTTGGGCTTATTTTCTTCTATTATTTTTCTGGTTTTATAACATTTTTACTAAGAGTACTTCTGTAGACTGAATTGTGTTCCTTGTTCCTCCCCCAACCCCATGCGTATATTGGAGCCCTAACTTCCAATATAATGGTATTTGGAGATGGGACCTTTGGGAAGTGATTAGCTTGTGAAGGCAGAGCCCTCATGATGGGATTAGTACCTTTAGAAGAAGAAACATGAGAGATATTTCCTTTTCTCTTTCTGCCTCTCTCTGTCTCTCTGTCTCTGTCTCTCTCTCTCTCTCTCTCTGTCTCTCGCTCTCTGTCTCTCTCTCTCTGCATGTGAGGACACAGCAAGAAGACTTCCATTTGCAAGCCAGGAAGAGAACTCTCACCAGGACTGTGACCATGCAGGTGCTCTGATTCAGACTTCCCAGCTTCTAGAACTGTGAGAAATGAGTGTTATAACAGCCTGAGCTGACTAAAACAAGTACTAATAAATTTCTTTATTAAGATTTCTGAGTTCTGCTAGGCTTGGTGGCTTGTACCCAAAATTTCAGCTCCTTGTGAGGCTGAGGTGGGAGGATCACTTGAGCCCAGGAGTTTGAGGTTACAGTGAGCTATGATTGTGCCACTGCACTCCAGCCTAGGTGCCAGAGGGAGACCCTGTCTCTAAAAAAAAAATCACTTTCTTTTTTGAATAAAAGGGTTAAGATGGATGCAATATTTCTGCTGGTATAACTGTCATGGTATCCCATTTTTTGGATTGAAGTGTTCTTTTATCAGTAACATTGATATAAGTTGTTTTGATTTCTTTCTACCCATGGGTTATCAGTGAATTCTTTTTAAAAAAATTTCAGTAGCTTTTGGGGTACAAGTGGTTTTTGGTTACATGGATGAATTCTGTAGTGGTGAATTCTGAGAATTCTGAGTGGTGAATTCTGAGACTGCACCCATCACCTGAGCAGTGTACACTGTACCCAATATTTAGTCTTTTACTCCTCACCTCCCTCCTCCCACCCAGAGTCCCCAAAATTTATTATGTACATCTTTGCATCCTCATAGCTTAGCTCCCACTTATAAATGAGAACATAATGGAATTTGGTTTTCCATTCCTGGGTTACTTCACTTAGATTAATGGCCTCCAGTTCCATCCAAGTTGCTGCAAAAGACATTAGTTTGTTTATTTTTATGACTGAGTAGTAGTCTGTGGTGTATATGTACTACATTTTCTTTATCCACTCATTGGTTGATGGGCACTTAGATTGGTTCCATGTCTTTGCAATTGTGAATTGTGCTGCTATAAACATGACTGCGCATATGTCTTTTTCTTTTTAAATTCAAATGAGGTCTCACTGTGTTGTCCAGGCTGGCCTTGAACTCTTGGGCTCAAGTGATCCTCTCCCTCCCTTGGCTTCCCAAAGTGCTGGGGTTACAGGCATGAGGCATCACGCTTTGCTTATGTGTCTTTTTCATATAATGACTTCTTTTCCTTTGGGTAAATACCTAGTAGTGGGATTGCTTGACTGAACGGTAGATCTACTTTTAGTTCTTTAAGGAATCTCCATACTATGAATGAGTTCTTAATTCTTAAGTGTTTTAACACTTTTCATCATTATTTTACTTTTATTTCTGATTTGGTGGAATCGTGATAAAACAGCATTAGCCACACTATTTTGAATAAGTTTATGATTTCTGTGTGAATAGGTACCTGGTAGATTTTTGTTCATGTTCTATTACTGTAAAAATGTACATTCTCTATTTAGGTATGTAAGTATTCATACTATTGCTTTTAAGTTTGTTAATTGTATTTTTCTTTATGTTTTTATTTTTTAGTATACTTGGACTGTTTGATACTGAAAAAGGATTATGAAAAGCTTCAGTGCTTATGTATTTTTAACGATGTTATCCCTGCATTCCCAGTAGTTTTTGTGTTATTTATCTGCTCTGTTGTTGGGTGCATAAAAGCCATACACTTAGTGAAGAATAACAATGGAACCCTGACTTCTGAGGTTTTAAACTTAAATTCTTTATAGTTTTTATTCCCTTTGACCAAAATGCAGACATAGTTTTTAGATGAGACTAAAATACATGACACAATTACAAAAAATAGCTAATGCATTGAGTGCTTTGATGGAGCAGTCCCAATTCCAAATGTTTTACATGTATTGACTCATTTATCTTTCCCCAAATCCTATGAGTTAATAAGTATTGGTATCTTAGCTAACAGATGAGGAAACCAAAGTACAGAGACATTAAATAACTTGCTTTAGATCACATAACTATTTCACAGCATAGCCACAATTTGAACCCATCTTGTTAGAGCTAAAGCCAGCAGCCTCAACCACAGTGGTATACTGTTACTAAATGGAAAACTTCGATTCAGGATATTTACATAGAATAGCTTTAGATTTCTCTGACTTCCTGAATATTCATTGATATTCGTTGTCTTCCACATAACGAGTTTATGTCTAACTCATAAAAGCCATGGATACGGTTAGATTGTGGCACATCCCAGATAAAATTTTAGGTTCACATTACATTTAAATATCAGAGAAAGTTTAACAAAAGTGTTACTTCTGTAAAACATTTTAGTCTAAACATTTGAAAAAAATTTTTTCATGCATATGTTATGTCTACATCTTTAATCTTTTCGTTCTGTGGTAACTACACAGCTATCACAGAGATAAAGCACACAGTCACGTTAAAAATGTTAAATCTATTTTAAAAGATAAAATTCATCAGAATTATTTTCTCCTTTAAATTGAGCATCAGATTAGGAAATATATAAATAATTTCTCAGTTTTACTATACTATACATTTCTATCTCCTTCTCCTCTTTTTGTTTTTTCAAACCAGAAGCAAATGCAGGTGGATATGTAAACTTGAGATAAGTAATGCTTTACAACCATAGTATAAAAGCAAAATACTTCATGGAAACATTAGATAGATTTGATTACATCATGTGAAACATCACATAGACTCAAGTGAAAAGGCAAATGGCTTTCTGAGGAACTATCAAATCAGATAAAGACTTCATAGGCTTAGAATTATTAGAAATGAATAAGGTAAATGTGAAAATCTAAATACAAAGCAGGCCAAAGATATGAAAAAAAAGTTCACAAGATAGAAAATAAATGTTCTTATAAAAATCATCATTTACCCTATTAATCATATGACAAGATCCTTGTCATATGATTAGTTTAAGTTACTCTGTAAATAACTTAAAATTTACAGAAAAGTTTCAAGAATAATACTAAGTACCCTTGAATACACTAATCCAGATTCCTCAAGCATTAACATTATACCATGTTTGCCTTACTCTTCCTTTATGTATATATGCATGTATGTGTATAATTATGTTTTTCTGACTCATTTGAGAGCAAGGAATAGATATCCAGATTTCACTATTTCATTTTTTTTTTTTTTGAGATGGAGTCTCGCTCTGTTGCCCAGGCTGGAGTGCAGTGGCGCAGTCTTGGCTCACTGCAACCTCCGCCTCTTGGGTTCTAGCGATTCTTCTGTCTCAGCTTCCCAAGTAGCTGGGACTTCAGGTGCGCACCACCATGCCCAGCTAATTTTTGTATTTTTTAGTAGAGAAAGGGCTTCACATATTGGCCAGGCTGATCTTGAACTCCTGACCTCAAGTGATCTGCCCACCTCGGCCTCCTAAAGTGCTGGGATTACAGGTGTGAGCCACCACACCTGGCGAGATTTCACTTTTTGAAATTGATGTTTTGCTAGCTCTAGGCCAGCAAGATGGTCTTTTTGTAAATATTTGTAGGAAATAAAAAAAATAGTAATTAAAAACCTCACCCAATATATGAAAACTCAAATGTTACATATCTTGGTACAGTTTCATCTAAATATACATGAGGAATATGGATTATCTTAGAATTAATATTATTTTTGGAATTTTAGAGTCTCATGTATCCAGTCCAAATATGAGTATGGCTTGATCAGACAAAATATGTTTCTAGAACTTGTTGCACAAAAGCAATGAAATCTGTACATTTACTGTTTTTAAAAAAACATATATATAAACAGATAAATAGGTAAATTGAGCTGAAAAAGGTATTGATTTTTTAAAGTAACTATATGCTTGTTTTCGGACAGCTATAAAATGTAAAATGATAGTGGCAATTGTAGTGATTTTTATGGTGAATTCTAAACTACCTTATGTAACACTAAAAGTTTGTTCATTTTAAAATATATTTTTAAATTCTTGAAAAATTGCCTGTTCACATATTTAGTGTATTACAAGATTTAGTTAATTAGTATCCCTATTCCCCAGCTTTTCTGGATGAAGATAAATTCATTTAATTACATAATAGACTTTCCTAGGGGCCTGCTTTAGTAGATGAATACAAATATTCATGCCCCTTTCATGGGTAACTGACAGAATTTCGACTCAAACTAACTTAAACAAGGACATATATAGATCATGTACCAGTGAGGTTCAGAGTGAGTAGGAGTGGCTTCAGACTTTGCTGGATCTGGTTGTTAGAGAGTTCTGTTTTTAGGGTATGCTTCTCTTTGTTTTGGTCTGATTTTCTCTTATGAATGGACTTCTTTCCTGTACTGGAAATTACCTGTAGGAAGCAGGAGATTAATATCCTCCTGGTAGGAGGTACCTCCAGTATGATATGACATGCTCAGTAGCTAAACTGTCGATAAACAGCTGTGTGAGACCTGGGGCAGTTGGAGGAGTTCACGGCCCCTGTCTGTTGGTCTGCCCTCTGCCTTTTTGGAAGACTCTTGAGAATCAACCAAAGGAGTTTTCCTGGAGGTCCCTGGTAGGGGAGGGATACAGAATCTGTGTCTTCTGACTAGTGTGAAGCCACACTGGGCTGAAGAAGCCAGTCTTTCCGGCAATTATGACAGCTCTTGAATTTTTAAAGAATTTTTTATGCCCTCCCAAAGCATTTAAATGTTGTCTAACATGTTCCAGTGTCTGTCTGAGGTGGTTTATAAAAGCAGGGACAAAACTTCTATTATTCAGAGTCAGGCTGTTACTGGTGGAAGAGATCCGAGTTACCCTGAGTTACCAGCAGCACATAGGTGCAGGTCTGCAGCAACTTCAGTCCTTGCCTCCTCAGAAGAAAGACTTTGAAGGACCTAAAGCAGGAAGAGACTGAGGCCCGTTTCAGAGTAGGAGTCGAAGTTTGTTTAAAAGGCTTTAGAACAGGAAAGAAAGGAAAGTTCACTTGGAAGAGATCCAAGAGGGTGCCTGAAGGTCAAAGATCCTAGGGCTTTATAGGCTCGCCTCTTTCCCATGATCCTTCCCTTAGGGTGGGCTTCCTGCATGCGCAGTGTCTCCCTTACCCTTGGAGCTCATGCAGTGTGTTTAGCAAGTTGCATGCATGCCTGTCTGAGGCTTTCTTCCCTTTTTCTGGTGGTATATACCTGGAAGG